TTATACCTGCAATATCAGTTCTAGTTGTTGTGATGTTGCTCCATACTCCATATCCTACTTGCTTGATGGCCCTTACCGTTACATTGTATTCAGTGTACGGCTTTAAGTTGCCCACAGTACATTCTAATTTTATAGTGTTTTTTTCGTGTGTTCTCATTTTTCCTGTAAGCTTTACTTCATATCCCGTAATAGGGTAGGYTGGACTGCATTGTTTGACAGTCCAGCTCAGCTGTATTGATCTTTTTCCAATGGCGAGCAGCCGAATACGAGGCGCTTCTAAAAAAGAAACAATATATTGATGGCATTTATGAAGTAAAATGGGGTAATGAAGTAAAATGAAGTAAAATTGTTTTCCCTGTCAAACTGCCTTTTCAAGGAAACGAGTCCATGCGCCTGATTCTGGTAAGGTAATATCTTTATATTGAGATAAAATATGGACGGCCATGGGCGGCAATTTAACACTGAAAATATGCTCTCGTGCGCTGATTGCCTAAAATGACTTAGGCGGAAACCGGCTTATTTAACATAAAAATAATAGTTTCTACCAGCTATCGGAAAGGGATTCCGGCTCTTTTAAAACTGCAGACCAAGGGCACTAGGACACCGAATGTGGTTGGATTTCTATAGGTTTTTTTTCCCTTTCGATTATTTGAATTAAATCAACGTTATACTTGTTTACTTATCTTGTGTCCGTGTTCCTTCGTTCGCTGTTGTAATGCAGACGTTTTCATTCCAAAGGTCAAACGGTTTGAGTAGCCTATGAGCGTTACTTCTTTAACGGCCGTTCCTTACTTGACTCTGTTTGTACTATACCAACAACAACGCGACCACGCGATGCTCCCTACGTCAGTAATATTCAACCGTCCAGAGTTAATAATAATAATAAATAATCTTTATTGAGGTCATCGCTGCCACCATAAGGTGATTTACAAGAGAGACCTCTAAAATAAATATATAACAAAAAAGAAAAATGAAGACTAAAATATAAATATATAAAAAATAACAAAAATGTAAATTTACAAATAATGACAATGTTAGAATGCAGACACTAAATGTGTGCAACACAGAATATGGAATATGGAATATGGAATATGGAATATGGAATATGGAATATGGAATATGGAACTTAAGGTGAATTTGATTAACCATATTAACTCTGGATGGTTGAATATTACTGACGTAGGGAGCATCGCGTTGTTGTTGGTATAGTACAAACAGAGTCAAGTAAGGAACGGCCGTTAAAGAAGTAACGCTCATAGGCTATTCAAACCGTTTGACCTTTGGAATGAAAACTTCTGCATTACAACAGAGAACGAAGGAACACGGACACAAGATAAGTAAACAAGTATAACGTTAATTTAATTCAAGTAATCGAAAGGAAAAAAAAAAACCTATAAAAATCCAACCACATTCGGTATCCTAGTGCCCGTGTGCAGACCTACCTTGAAACGAGATGTAAACGTTGACTCGCATTGTTTTTTTTATGTGATGTGCTGTTGGAACGAACCTGATGTACTTCGCAGTTATGGGATTTTCTAGATCATGCCGCACCACACTAGAAGAATCATTATCACCTTTGAACTGAGAAAAGAGAAAGTATACTACTGATCGAGAAAGAGAGAGAGAGAGAGAGAGAAAGGTTGTACAAGTTAAATATTATCATTTTTAGTTACGCACCAACATCTTGTGTGTATCGTCTTCATAGCTGTTCCAATTTGATGCGTTGTTTGAGTATTGCAACTTGTATCTTGTCACCCATTCATTATATTGAATGTGAGGTACCCTGTCTGGATCACCACCATTTCCTTGTGTTGCTACAGCAGTAATAACACGTG